ACGATGAGAGAGGTTTGTTAAATCTATTATGACTTTACACTTTTTTGTGTGTCTCTGTTGTATATAATTTAAGTCTATGACAGTGTTTATGAATTTGGATCTTCCTGGTCAATTAAACTCATTGATATGAAGTGACCTTCATCTCTAGCCATGCTCGTTACCTTGAAGTCCACTGCATGTTAGTATGTAATTTTCATGTGGTTTATATAAAACAGGGTGGGACAAAAGTAGGTTTAGAGTTGTGAGTACAAGAAACAAAGTTTATTGTTGTCTTATTATTTAATAATTATGACATTATTGTTCATGTGAGCAATTGTAAAGCTGCTTTTGCACCATCCTGTGTGTCTTTTCCCATTTTTTTTCTTTCAATGTTTTTTTACCCCATGGTTTAGGTTATTCATATTTTCTCCCAGTTTGTGTCTTGTCCTTTTATTCTCTGAACTTTTCCAAAGTATTGTTCAATTTTCTAAAGTATATACTATTAATGTATTTCTTCATTACATTGCACGTCCACAAGTATACCTGAGTCCTGGCTGGTTTGTTTAAATGGGCCACTAAGAAATCAAACTCACAGATGGGGGCAGGGTCTTAGGTCAGAGGCTGGAGTGGGCTGGAGGTGAGAGGTGGTCAGGCCGCAGATGTGGGTGGGGCTGGGCAGAAGGCAAATGTAGGCTGGCAGGAGTGAGGGGCGGCCAGTTCTGGTGGAGAGATGATCCAGTATGCGGGCTGGAGGTTAGGCGCCGCCGGCTCCTGGTCTCCGTGGTCACAAGGTGATGCTCACATCCTAACGTGATGCACGCAATGCAGTCCAAGGACAGGAAGTGAGTTGCGTGAGGGCTATGAGGTGACGGGGCTATGGGAGAAGATACAGTCACCCTGTGGGGAGCACCAAGGGGGGGCAGACTGTTTCTGGGGTACATGTCTCAGGTTCAATTTAGCTGACTACTTCCTGTGAGAGCACTTTTCTTTATACATCTAGATGATATTTCAGTTATAGGTAGCTTTGATAAATAGAGATATAAAGATAGCCATTTTTTAACTTCCAAATAATGTAACATACCCCAATGCGAGCAAATGTCGGAAGCCTTCAGGAATTTAAGATGGAACTTTATTGGCCAAAGTTTCAAAGTTTTACCTGCGCAGGGGCGAACTCTCGGGGTGCCTCCGGAGACACGGGTGCCAAAATGGCTGCAAATGAGAGTCGCGCCTGGTGCTTACAGCCTGGGGTTTTTATTGGGGTGAGCAAGCAAGCAAATACAGAAGCAGACATAGCTGTTAGCAATTGGCTATCTCGAGAGAACACACATGGCTATGTCTCTGCTTGCAACAATGGATACGTTTCTGCAAGGACAAGGTCATGCACAAGGCGGTTTATCTTGTCCTTGTACTTTCTGTACTTTTCTATCTCCCTTGCTGAGACAGTCTGGTGCCTGCCTCGTCCTCCCTGCTAATTTTATCTAATTCTGGCCTAACCTAACATTAAGATGAAATTTTTCATTTGTTAAACTTTCTGTTATTGCATAGCAATTTTCGATTTTGTTCATGTACATCCTGTACATTGTTAAGCTTATTCCCAAGGTTTTTTCCCTGTTTTGCTGTTATTGATTCTTTAAAAAATTATATATTTAACTTACCATTTCTACATATTTATTCCTGCATGTTATTTTTGTCACCACTGCACTAAATTTTACTTGTGGTACTTTTACATAGATTCTCATGAGTTATGAAGGTAAACATGCTGCTCTCATGCAATCATGATCATTACATGGTTGTAGCTGTAGGTGACCTAGGAATAGTTAAAGCTTGAAAGAAAACAAGAAGTGAGGTAATATGAGGAGCTAGAAAAGTTGTCTTTTTTAGTCATAAATACATTAATGAGTAAATAAAAGAGTAACATCCTTCTTAGCATTTTAAATGAGTTTAGGGCCTGGAAGCACGGTGTTCCAGAAATCAGAAGTATTTTGTGACAGGCAATGTGCCCCAGGTAGGTGATCTGAGGAACACAGAAGGTAGCAAATGGGCACATTTTCAAAGAAGAAAACTTCAGATGGTCAAATGTGGAGTCTAACAGAGTAAGATTCTTTTCTAAGTAAATCATGAATCAGTTATGAAAGTGATGTGTGAGTGATGGAAAGAAGCAGGATCCTCAGGTGACTACTCTGTGTAGTCACAGTGTGATCTGGTCTCCTAAGCAGACAGATTTTTTTTGCCGCCTCACCTATTGCCCAGGACTCTTCTCCCCAATGTTGGCAAGACGGCTGGCATTTTTCGTTCTTTAAGTTTTAGCCCCCATGCTTCCTGTTCCAACAAAGGCAGCCTCTGAAATGGAGGATGCAAAGGGCTATGCTGTTTGTATTTTAATGGAGTCTTCATGATACAGAGTAGGGGGTTTTATTCTCAGCTCAGTTTTGGGCCAGAGAATTCATTCTCCTGAGGGACTGTCCTCTGCATTGTAGGTGCCTGTTAGCATCCAATACCTCTGTTCACCCTCACTTCCTTTCCCCTCAAAACAATCTAAAATGGCTCAGTATGTTGCCTGAAGTCCCCTTGGGGGCAAAAATCACCTTTGGCTGAGAAACAGTTTGAAGCTTCTTTCATTTTTGAAATCAGAAGGATCTTGGTCTGGCATGCAGTATTTTTATTATTTTCCTATGTAAATTATTTTCCACTCTGACTGTGATTTATTTTGGAAAGGTATTTAAAAGTTTATTTAAAACATCTAAGTATAGGGACTTTGTAGTTACCTTGTGACTGGTTTTCAGATTAATGGCAAAGAGAGCAGTAAACATAGCTTGTGAGACATTTGTTGAAACCTGCTTTATAGCTAAATGTAGTCATTTTTTAAAAAGTTCCAAGTGTGTGTGAAAAGGTTTTTTTTTTTGTCAGTCTGTGCTTTTACTGACTACTTGAGAGGGATGAAGCGGGAAGAGTGGGTGGCCCCAATGCCGGGCCGACTATGCTTCACTGGCTTATAGGTGATGGAGAACTCGCCCAGGTAGTGGCCAATCATCTCTGGCTTGATTTCCACCTGGTTGAAGGTCTTCCCATTGTACACGCCCACCATGCTGCCCACCATCTCTGGCAGGATCATCATGTCCCGCAGGTGTGTCTTCACCACTTCAGGCTTCTCCATGGGCGGCGCTTCCTTCTTCGCCATGCGCAGGCGCTTTAACAGTGAGTGCTGCTTCCTCCGAAGGCTGCGGTTCAGCCGCCGCCGCTGCCTGGCACTGTAGAGCTGCATCAGCTGCTCACAGGACATGTCAAGTAGTTGATCGAGATCCACGCCACCATAGGTGAACTTGCGGCAGGTCCGCTTCTTCTTCTGCTCCACTTCCGCCATCTTGTTGGTTCTTCGGAAAGGGCTGAAAAGTATTTTTAACTTACTTTGTTGCTGCTTACTTTAACAATGAGAAAACACTTATTCAAAATTCTACCTAAGAGTTAAAGAGAATAGCCATCATTTTATGTATATACATTTGCAGATATGTGGACGTGAACATTTCTATCTACTTTCTCTGAATTTCATTTACTATTTCAGGTTATAAGTAGGCCACAAAAGTTGTAAATTTTCAGCTTTTATTTTTGAGACTGCATTCAAGGCTGAAGGTGTTTTTCATAAGTTTTAGTATGTGGTATCTTTATCCCCATTCTGTTTATTTTGTAATTCGAATCGTTGTATTTTTGTGGTTATTTGGAAGTGTATTACATAGCTAGGAAATATAAGGACTTTCCAGTCACCCATTCGTAATAAATTCTAGCTTAAGTGCAATAGAAGCACTTAGAGAAACGTATATGCTTTCAATGCTGCGATGCTTGTTGAAACTATCTTTTTATTGGCTTGTCCAAAAGATAAAAACTTTTGGGAAGATAGAATTCCGAAAGTGCCTGAAAGACTACAGAAAGCAGTGGGACAAAATGGTGAATACCTTGTTCAATACAATTATTGGTGAAAACGAAACACGTCTCTTTCATTGTGTCTTTACCTAAAAATCTAATGAACCTTTTGGCTAAGGAAATGGTAGCGTTCCAAGTGTGCATCTCTGCTGCCATCTCGTGGGCCTTTTGGGAATAACATGTTACTGGCAGGTTGGGGGGGAGTGGTTGACTGCAGTGGAATATCAATGAATGTTGATTAAAATGTTATTTAGAAGTGTATTTAGTAAGTTTTATATATCAGGACTAACTAGTTAACTTTTGTTCCTAATTTCTATGTTAACAGCAATGACAGAAAGAAACATACTGTATATAATTTCAGTCCTTTGAAATTTGTTAAAACTTGCCCTAGCACAAGGATAGTCCCTTTGAAAAATGTCCCAAGTGTGGCTCTCGGCTGCCATGTCATGTGTCACTTGAGATGGCAAATCTTATTGTCCCACCTCTGTGCCCGTGGCTCGCATCCTGGTTGTGGCTTCACGGTCCCTTGCCTTGTACTCATGGGCCCGCTGCACTCTGCTGGCTGCAGGCAGAGGAGGACAGTCCACACTGCACTAGACACAGATGCTCAGACCTTTGACCCCCTGTGGGCGCTGCAAGGCCCTCCTGGCAGCTGGTCGCTCTCCCAGGCTGTGTCCGCTGCTGTTGCCACAAGATTTAACAATTTTAGCAAAGCAACCTATTTTCAACTGAATGATTGATTACGTTAATGAAATTTGGAAAAGTTTATTAGTTTAACTTGCATCCTATAGTTTGTAGGATTGCCTACCAAAAAGTAACATTCCATGAAGGTTGCACTGTTCATAAATTTCCTGTCTCTATCACCCATCTTACCTCTATAAGACCCTGTTTCCCCAGATTCCCAAAGGTCCTGTATACCTGATAACACCTCATTGTCCAGTATTCATTTGTACTCATGCATGCATTCAATGTTGAATATCTTGTATTGATCTTATGATACAAGATTATATCTTATATTGTGCTATTTTAATTATTATCACACAGGTGTTAGAGTCGACAAGGTTTGTAGAAAATAATCTCTTTTTGTGGAAAATAATTCCCCACAGGTTTGAAAAGCTGGCAGTGTGGAATGAATGGTGAGACAGTGCTAACTCCTGAACCTGTTGCAACTGAGAGACCATGGACATCTGCCTTCCAAGGTCAGCATCCTTTTTCTTGACTGTGTCTTTTGGCCTATTTCTGCTGGGTTTGGTAAATTTTGAAGTTTGCATTGGGAAAGACAAGGGTTTTTGAATCACAGGGTTGTGTCAAATGGGAGGAACTGGTTCAGCTCCTGCCTGTGGCCTCTGGCAACAGGGGCCTGGCAAAGGGCCAAGACCTTTGGTCCAAGACCAAAATCTGGCCTTGATGTCCTGGTTATAAATCTGCATCCTGTGTCCAGGGCCTGTGCTCCAGAGTCAAATGTATTCAGTTGTGGGTCTATAGTCTTGCACCTCTTAGGATGTGGCTTTGTGTCCTGGGTTTGCATGTGAGGTCCATGTGCAGATAAAGCTTTTGGTTTTGGTGAATGGCATCTGGTATTAAGGGTCCAATGTCAGTTCCTGGCATGTGGTGTTTGGCCTTTGGACCTAATGGTCTGGCTTGGGTGAAGGCCCGGGGCTTTGGTTTTGGGGCTTTGGGCCTGCAGTCCTGGTTTTGCTTTGGGTCCACTCCAAGGCCAACGTTTTGGAGTCAAAGGTCTGTGTCCAGCATTCTGAGTTTGGCTGTTGTCTGGTGTCTGTCAACAGATGACCATTTTGACAAATTCAATGCCAATATGAATGCACAAGTGTATGGAGTTGAGGTAGGTTTTAAAAAAAATAGGAAAATTCCTTGGCAAGTGAAATGGACAAAGTAAGTTTGATAGCTAAATAAGGCCTAGCAATTTATAGCTAAGTAATAAATCTGAGGCCCTTATCTTCCCTGACCAAGGGCATTTGAGAGCAAATGGTTCACCCATTCCAGACCACACAGGGGAAGACCCACCTCAGTCCCAGCCCTTCTCTGGTGACTTTTCTGAAGGAGAAAGTCACCAGAGCAGGACCCTGATCACTCTGTGTGCTCGTTTTGTTGCATCAGCACATCAGTGACACCCCTGGTCCTGGGAAGCAGAGTATTGTGTGGCGATGACTCTTCTAAGACCTCCTCTAAAGTCCTCAACATTAGAAAACAGGTAAAACCCTTAAAAAAAGACCCAGTGTGAGCTGTTCATTGAGTTCACATGCACCTTCCCTTCTCTTCTTTGCTGCATATCTGCACTGTTTCTCCTTATCTCCAAGGTCCCTGGGACTTGCAGGCAGGGAGCTGTGGGCAGCAGCAGCTCGTCCCGGGCTCACCCCCTGATCCTGTCTCCAAGGAACTTCTTGCGTCTTTCTCAAGAAGCAGCTCCACCCATGCTCACTCTTGTTGCTGTGATTGTGCCTCTTCTGTCTGAAGCCCTTTCTTTGTTTCACTGTCCTTAGATTTAATATACAAACTCTCAAAATTCCCTAGCTTTGTGTCATGAAATTTTGCTGCAGGAGGTCAAGAACCTACAGACATGAGACCTTTCCAGGGCAAACCCCCCTTGGGTCCAGTCCCTTTTCAGTGACAGAATAACCAAATTTTGTGTTATTTGTTTACCTGTGGATGGATACTTGAATACTTTCTACCTTTCAGTTTTTATTCACAGTGCTGTTATATATAATCATGTATGAGTTTGTTATAACGTCTGTCTTCAGTTTCTCAGATTGTATTTCAAAGTAGTTTTTGAACACAGGATAATTTTTTTTGAGAAAATGTCAAACCATTTTATACAAGGTCTGCAATATTTTACATTTTCAAAAGAAATGGTCAACTGTTCTAATATTAGTTTGTGATCATGAAAATTTCTCAGTTTTGCTTTCTTATAGCCTTTGTAGTGTCTGTGAAGGGGTATTGTGCTGTGATGTAGCCATTGAACATCTTCTCTGGTATTTCTTTTTTACCACTTCTATGAATGTCTTCTCAGTAGAAGGGACCATTCAAGTTTTTTTTTTTTAATATAGATGTCTTCCTGGGTGTTATGGCTCACTGGTTGAGCACCTACCTGTAAACCAAAGGGGTCTCTGGTTCGATTCCCAGTCAGGGCACATGCCTGGGTTGAGGGCCAGGTTCCCAGTAGGGGGCATGTGAGAGGCAATCACAGATCGATTGTTTCCCTCCCTCACCCTCTCTAAAAATAATAAATAAAATGTTTAAAATAATATAGGTGTCTCTTCATTGATGAGTCATAAAGTTCTTTGTTGTGAAAGAATGAATCTGATCAAAAGTATAATGTGCAGCCATCTTCTTCAATTCTGTGGGTGGTCTTCTTACGCTATGAATAGCTTCTCCTGCTACCCAGAATTTTTTAATCAGGAGGACATTACATTTACTCATTTACTTTCCTCAGTTTTGCTTTGGAAGGGTGTGCCTTGATATGGAAGCAGCAGCCTCATGCATTTTCAGGTCTTATGTATGTCATCATTGCATTATCTGATTTGCTTGATTTAATATAACTTGTTTCACAGAAACCTGCTTTATGGTTTTAGAATTGAGATGATTACATTTCAAGGGTTTACAGGTTTAAATAGGATAAAAGACTATTCTGTGGTGTACGATGTCCAGAGTCAGGCATGTGGAGTCAGGGACAGGCTTTGGACACCCAGTCCCATGTCTGGTGCGTGGCATGATTCGTGGTTAGGATTAGGGGTTGGGGTTGCAGTGCATACCATGACTTGTCTTTAACTATTTGAAACCATCATATGAGACTGTATCACGACAGGTGTACTATCAGTGTGTGATAGAAAAAATATCACTACAAGTGGTAAATGTATGGTTGGCCATTTTCACAGAGAAGCATGAGCATAAGCAAAATTTTCTGCCCCTTTGGCTTAGTCTTTCCAAGAAAGGTACAAAGGCAACTGTAAGGCAAGAAAAGATCTGTGGTTGTGGGGAGAAGATGCTGTGACTGACCGAATGTGTCAGAAGTTTATTGCAAAGTTTCATGCTGGAGACTTCTCCCACAGGCAGGCAGGCCAGGTGCAGTGGAGAGCCCTCAATGGGAGATGTTCACTGAGGACGGATCACATCATGGCAGGTGGGAGACAGGCAACATGTTGAAAGTGTCCTAATCAGGCTTCGAAAATCATTTGCACCAGCTTGGTTACATGAATTGCTTTGCTGTTTGGGCTCCACAGGAGTTCAGCAGGATGGTGGGGGACCTTCATGAGTGGGTTTTTACAAGTGGTTCTCCACTGAAACATAAAGGAAATGTTCCATTTCCATGAAGATTGTGTGTGTGGGGGGAGGATGAGTCTTTGCTATTTGAGAGTAATGTGGAATGGGAGAGATTGTGGGCAAACAAAGGAACTGCCACTTGCTCATCCAAAGGGCAGTCTGCACCCACAGGAGGTGATGATGCCCTTGTGGTGAATTCGGGAGGGAGTCCTGCAGTAGGAGCTGGTTTCGGAAATCCAGCAGGCTACTGGCAACAGGTACTGCTCCCCATCAGACCAACTGAAAGCTCCACCTGAGGGAAAGAGTCCGGAATTTGGGAGCAGAAGATGCAGAAGGTTAGGATTAGGTGAGAGCACATATCTCTTTGGTGACCAGGGAAAACAGTTCCAGCCTGGCTGCACAGTCCTGATTCCTCCACAGCACTCAGAGACCTTGCTCCTTCCCATGGCCATGTAGTTTGTCTCTCTGAATTCTTTATGGGGAAAAATTTCTGTTCCCTGGAAGACTGCATAAGACACATGAAAGAGCTCTCTGCTTCGATAGAGAACCATGTTGTGGGACGATGGAATGGTGAAATCGCGTGAAGGTGGCACAGAGCAGTGGAAGAAGATGGTGGTGACATTGTGCAGTTCTGTTGTGGGGGGACAATGAAAAGTGTGCCTGTCTTTGTAACTCAAGATAAAAAGTGAAGGAATCTTTCAGCCAGGCCCTTAGTAGGATATGCATTGCATCTGTCGATCTATGCTTCCATCTCGTGGTCATTTTGGGAATGACACCTTATTGCAGGTCCGAGGGAAAAGTGGGTATAGTGTATCATCTAGGAATGTGGAACCCAATGTTATTTAGATGTACATTTCATCACTTTGACAAAGAAGGACTTTTTAGTAACCCTTTGTTACTGATTTCTAGGTTGACTGCAGTTAGTGTCAGCAATATGCTTTGCATAATTTCACTGTTTTGAAGTTTTTTGAAACTTGCTTTACAGTACAATATGACCACTGAAAAAGTGTTCCAAGTGTCCCTCTCTTCTGCCATCTGGTGTTCACGTTGGGAAAACACCTTGGTGCAGATCAGAAGGAAACGTTGGGTATAGTGGGTCATCCCTAAATGTTGAATCAAATTTTGCGGCTCATGTTAAGTTATTTAAAAAAAATTAAATTTGGGACTTCCGCCAAGATGGAGGCATAGGTAGATATCCCTGCCTCCTCACACAACCAAGTTTAGAGACAACTAAAGATTAGCAACAGAAAACACAGCCAGAACACAGAAAATTGAACTTTTTGGAAGTCTGTTACCAACAAATTCTGCAGCCTGACCGGTAAGCGGCGAAACCAGCAGCTGGTGGAGCGGGGTTGCACAGGAAAACTCGGTCAGATGGACTCAGGCGTGCAGAATCCAGGCGCAGGGTTGGACCTAGTGAGCGACCGAGCGAGCGACTAAGCAAGTGACCAAGCAAGTGACCGCGGGGAAACAGCAAGGGAGCAGGGCTGCGGGTTGACTGTGGTCGCACATTGGTGCACGGATAGACAAGCGAGGGAGTGGGCGATTGGACCGGGACCCAGCGGGTCCCCGTGGCAAGCCGCAGGGAGGGTGCTGCCATTTCCCTGCTCTGACCCCACCTCCACATACAGCGTTATAACCCAGCGACTCTGAGTGGCCCGGCCCTGTTGAACCACCTAAGGTGCTGCTCCTACCCAGCAGTGCAAAACAGCAGAGGGTGTCCCCGTTTCCCGCTCTGACCCCGCCCCCACATACAGTGTCACAAACCAGCAACCTGGGAGTCCAAGGCTCCATTCCTCACACTTAAAGGGCACAAACAGACCAAAACTGGCTCAAGAAGAGCTCAAAGCCCCAGAGCCTATAAATCTAAGCGATGAAGAAATAGCAAAACTCTCAGATGCACAGGTTAAAACACTGGTGATCACGATCCTCACAGAACTGGTTGATTATAGCCACAAATTAGACAAATATATGAAGGCGAAACTAATTGAAATGAATGGAATTGCACAGGACACCAATAGCAATGAAAAGGAAACTGGGACTCAAATCAATGGAGTGGACCAGAAGAAAGCAAATAATGGCCAAACAGAAAAGAGTCAAGAAGCAAGAATTCAAAGAAATGAGGAGAGTCTTAGGAACCTCCAGGACATCTTTAAATGCTCCAACATCTGAATTATAAGGGTACCAGAAGGGGGAAAGGAACAGCCACCAGTGGAAAACTTATTTGAACAAATAATAAAGGAGAATTTCCCCAATCTGGCAAAGGAAATAGACTTCCAGGAAATCCAGGAAGCTCAGAGAGTCCCAAAGAAGTTGGACCCAAGAAGGAACACACCAAGGCACATCATAATTACATTAGTCAAAATTAAAATGAAGGAGAGAATCCTAGAAGCAGCAAGAGCTAAGGGGACAGTCACCTACAAAGGAGTCCCCATCAGGCTGTCAGCGGATTTCTCAAGAGACCTTACAGGCAAGAAGGGGCTGGAAAGAGGTATTCCAAGTCATGAAATCCAAAGACCTACAACCAAGATTGCTCTATCCAGCAAAAATTTCATTTAGAATGCAAGGACAGATAAAGTGCTTCTCAGATAAGATCAAATTCAAGGAGTTCATCATCACCAAGCCCTTATTATATGAAATGGTAAAGGGATTTATCTAAGAAAAAGAAGTTAAAAAAACATGAACAGTGAAAGGACAACAAGCTCAGTTATTAACAACCACACCTAAAACAAAAGCAAACTAAAAGGACAGCTAGATCAGGAGTGGAAACATAGAAATGAAGATCTCAAGGAGGGTTAGCAACAAGGGAGTGGGAGGAGGAGAAGGGGGGAGAAGGTACAGAAAATAAGTAGCATAGACAGTAGATAGAAAATAGATGGGGGGGCAAGAATAGCATGGGAAATGTAGAATCTAAAGAACTTGAGACACATGGTCATAAACTAAAGGGGGGTAATGGTGGGGACGGGGGGGTAGGGTGGAGGGGAATGAAGGGGGGAATAGAACAACTGTAACTGCATAATCAATAAAAAATTAAAAAAGGTTAAGTCATAACCTTCTAATTGAAACAAAAAATTTAAATTTGTTAGAGAAGGGTAAGGGAAGGGAGAAAGACAGAGAGAGAAACATCGATGTGTGTAAGAGATACATCAATCAGTTGCCTGTCACACACCCCAAACTGAGAATCTGGCCTGTAATCCAGCCATGTGCCTTGATTGGGAATCCAACTGTGACCGTTTGGTTCACAAGCCTGTGTGCTCAGTCTACTGATCCACAACAGCCAGGGGTCATGTGAAGTTTTTTTTTTTTATGTCTACAGGGTTGTTTTTTTTTGGGGGGGTGGAGTCAATAAGGCTGCAGGTTTGATCCCTGATCAAGCCACATGCAAGACTCAAGCAATGACTGGTGTGGCTCAGTGGGCTGGGCATCTATCTGCCTGCAAACCAAAAGGTCACCAGTTCCATTCCTAGTCAGAGCAATTACCTGGGTTTGAGGCAGGAGATGGTCAGGAGGAAACTCTGAAGGTGCTCCAGGGCTAAGAGAAAGGACATTGATGCAGGACAGAGACCCTGTTCTAAGACCAGTTGTTCCTGCTTTCTGAAAAAGCACTGAATCATGGCGAATCATAACTATACCTGCACAGAAGATGCTACATGACCCCTGCTTCATTCTAATAGCATTGTAATAAATCAGCCTTGTGGGACCCCCTTCCCTGGTGGTCAGTCAAGGAAGATCATGGGAGACCACATGTGTAGTAGCTTTAAAGTAACAGAACTACTTGTACATGGGCAATAAAACCCTGCTAAAACTAGCCAACAAATATTACCCTGTAAGTATAGAATCCCTCCAGCTCCTGAGATCAGTCTGTTTGGAGTCAGCCCGCTCCCATGTTCTGTGCAGTGTACTATCACTTAATAAATCTGCTCTCTGTCTGCT